GAGTTCCGTGCGGGTGAGAAATCAACCGAGTGTCTCGAGTAAGTGAGAGGAGAGGAGAGGATAAATAGGAATGATCGAAGTGGAATAATAAGTGCATCGTTTTCGAAAACGACGAGTCTGATGAAAAGTTGATGATTTCGTGTCCGTTGAACGGCGTATGGCTCGCGATCGGTCCAATCGATCCTCGTTGCCTCGTCTGCCGTGGAGATTCGTAACGACGCTCCGGCACGTAGAACGACCGTCGTCCAACCGTGGTCGTTTGTTCGTAGTAAACGGACGGGGGGGAAGAAGGAACGCACGATCGACGAGCATCGTTCGGCGACAGGTGATTTTCGAGGATAGCGATCCTGGCTATTGCTGGAACACGTTGTCACGGTGGCCGGCGAAGTGATATACAAGGAAGCAAAGACGGAGCGTTCTCGCAGCAGCGCAGAGGATACGATAATACCGTATTGGAATAGGGGAAAAGTAAATCCTGCGATAAGGGTGGTGGTGGTGGACGCGGAGCGGCCTGGAACGAGGAGGGTGCCCGTATTTTCGAAGGAAATGCGCTGCTAGCAAATCGGCAAGGTGTCGCCCGAATTTTTGAGGTAGGCCACCGCATCTATTTGATTCACGGCTTAACCGCGCAGCGATAATCGTTCGCGAAAATCGCTCCGTGCGGAATATTAGGATAGGACGTGGCGACAATTATACGTGGAAATACGTGCGTGAGTGGTGGCGGTAATTGCTTCGGGAAATGGACCATATCGTCGAAGCTGAAAGCCCGGGTTACAGCGGGAACATAGCTTTTCGAGTCGCGTGCAAATTACAACAGCCGGCGGTGTTTCGGCACGTGGATCCCGGCCGATGCATTGGCAAAGTTTCGACGACCAGTTTCGCGAGATTTTTCTCGAAAGAGGATTACCATCCCACGATACGATTCTAAAAACCGGATGTCCCGTCGGATATGTCATCCCTATCGTAAAACCCTTAGGATCGCGCACGATATATACGTGATATCGATTTTAGATTTTCGAGACGACGGCCGTCGGATCGACTCGAAAATCCTTCCCCCGTCAAAATTGTCGCGCGGATCGAGTTTCGATCGAACGCGTCCCTCTCGCGTGTCACGACAGTGTTTCCATTCTCGAATTGTTCCCAACGTGTGATCGCGATACTCCTCCAAGATCCTCCACGAGGACCGACATTTTTCCGCGGTTAACGTAATACGATAGCTCTGCGAACCTCCCCGGATCCAATTCAACGGCAGACGTTCGCAGACGAACGATGAAATGTACGACAGAGAGAAACGATGGAGGGAAGAGGGAGGGGAAACAGAGAGAAATTCCGCGAGAGTGTCTTTGGAGGGGGAGGGGGGGGGGCGGAAGGGTGCAGTGGAGAAATGCAGAACTTAATGCAACGAGCAAACAAATAAAGCATCTCCGACGGGGATTGAAAAGAGTCGACGTGCCGCGGAGATCGATATTCGCGACTCCGCTGCGAAACGTCGAGCGAGATTAACGCACGCTGCCGCGGAAATACGCGTCGACGGCCTGCCCCCCCTGTCTCTCTCGCGCTTTTCCACCGCGTTTTCCTTTTTTCTTCTTTTTTTTTTTTTTTTTATCCTCTTCGTCTATCGTTTTTTCTTTTTTTCCTTTTTTTTTTTTTTGTTAGCGAATTAAATCGACACCGGTACGTCGACCGTCGCCGATTCAGTTCGTCCGCTCGTTCGCCGCTTTTCAACGGACGAGGGGCTCGTGCTCGTTCACCTGTTGGTTAATTTCCATCGAATCACGGGGATGTTTACTCTCGATTACCCCCCGTAATGGAGAATTTTCATCGCGGTAATTAAGCGAATCCTGGTATCCATGCCGCGTCGGGAAATACACTCGTTCCATTTGCGAAATTACCACCGCCGATTCTCGGAACGGAACGCGCAACGCTATCGCGATATTTCTCCGCGCGATCTTTGGAAAACATCCCATTTGGTTGGTCGGAACGTTTCCGCCGAGGTTCGACGTTTTAAACGACCTCTCCTCCTGCTACTCTTTTCCACCGCGTGCCGCCTAACCGAAATTAGAAATGATCCTCGAGATCCCAGGAACGGGTTCGTCGGGGCCGAAAATCGTGGCTGTCGCTGACAGTTATTAGGAACTTATGGGGCGAGTGTTCACGGTGAAAACTCGAGCCAGACCCCCCCCCCCTGCACAGTTCCTGTTCGAGATGCGCCACGGTGTTTATTTTGACCGTGCTCGTGTTTTTCCCTTTGCCTTTGCGTTCTATTCGCTTTCCGTCCGAGTTTCGATCTCCTTTATTTCCTCTCTTTTATTTATTTCCGTTCCGAAAATTCGGCGATGATTAGAGAACACGAAGGAAAATGGCGTTTTCGAATTTTTTTCCAAGAGACGGAGGGAGGGGGGGAAAAAAAATTTAAATATCGATAGAAATCGAGAGGGGGGGCTCTTATTGCCGGGCTCGGATCGGAATCGAATTTCCAAAGGTGTTGAAAATGCACGCGTGTATGTAGAACGGCGGTCACACAGGACTCGTTCGAATCGAGCTGAAAATTTAAACGCGCTTTTTTTTTTTTTCCGCGCGTGCATCGCGAAACACAGCTCCACTAATCCACCAGTCTCTTTTCAAAGAGAGGAAACGAGCCCGATAAACCGATCGACGAGCATCGAGAAAAAAAATCTCTCGCCTTCATTCTCCTCGTTAATTCGTGTAAGAATGGTGCGCTTTGTGCGCGAGGGATGCGCGATAATGGAGCGTCAAATTCGTTGAATAAATCCGCGCGACTGCGCGTAAATATTTCAGAAGGAACCGCAGCCTGGAAAAAGCGAGCTAGTTCCGCGTCCTTGACAGTGGAATAGTGCGGAGAATCGGCACCAGATGGAACCACCGTACGGCGTTCCACGCGGATCGCTCTTTTTAAAACTGTTCCTCACGGATGTGTATACGGAAAATATAGCAAGATGGTTTACAATTTAACGAGGTTGTAAATTGAATCATTAAGAAGAGTGCGAACACGCTACACTTATAATTAGACTCCGTGTACCGAGTTTTTCTCGTTGTTTTTTTTTTTTTTACTCGAAGTTTTTTGCTCGAAGTTTCGGGTTGTTATCTGATCGTAGATCTGTCGAAACACTAGCCCTGGCATCCATACGTCATTACTTTCCGTTCCATTGATTTTTACGACTTTCCTCGTGTAATGTGGGCCCGGTATAATATATAATACGTGCATGCATGTGTGTATGTGTGTGTGTATATATATATATATATATATACGACACGCGTAACTATTGTTGTTTCCTTAACGACGTTTTAAAGTCTCTACTCAATAAAGTTTCGATAATGTTAGTTGCGGTCGAAGCTCATTTGTACCACTGTATCGCGGGAAGAAGAATGTTAATGTTTCCGCTCTATTCGTATAGAGCAAATACTCGTCGTCGCCGATAATGATCCGAAAGCTAACGTCTCGATTCGACGAGTGAAAATCGTTCCCCGAAACCCATCTAAAACCCATCGGTTCGATAAGTTGCCGGAATGGAATAGGTGGTTAAAAGTGAGACGTTAATTAAGGGCGTGAGTTAAGGAGCGATAACAGCAATTGGAAAGCTCCGTTTCCAATTGTTGGCAGACGGGTACGGGGACGATCCCGCTCGATCGTCGTAAACTCGGCTTGGAAGTTGGTGCGGCTAGATCGGGGGATAGAGAGCTCGTCGTAACACCCACGCGACACCTGCTCACCCCTCACCCTCTCGTGTTGTTACTGAATACCTGTGCGGGGGATGTCGGCTCTCGAAGTCGGGTTCCCTCGGTCTTGGTTTAATAAAGCACCGGTGAGAAACGCGAAACACGTGCGTGCAAAAGTTCTCCCCACGGAGAACGCGCGTAACGACGTTCCACGCCGAGAAGAAAGGGGCGGAGGAAGGATGGATGAGAGGACGGGAGGAAGAAAGTTAGGAGGGCGGTTACGCGCCGCATCAAGGAGGGCGGAGTTAGGTTTAGATGTCCCGTTACCCTTCCCTTCTTCGCCTTCTCCCCTTGTTCTCGAGGGGTCGAGGTAAACGATCCGCGGCAGAATTTTCGCCTCGCGAAATTACACCTATATAGATAGAGGATAGACCCGCGTCAAATCGAAATACGACGACGACGATGAGGACACTTGGAGAACGGGCGACAATATCGGAGCAACGCGGGTTGTTTAACGATGGCGGAGCGTTTCTCGAAATTGGAACGCGTGTCGTGGAAAATTGAGTCGTTAACCTGTTCCACGATGAAAAATCCTCGAGAGATGGGAAAAAGGAAACGGAACGAAACGAGTCGTCGTTGTTACCAATCAGGTTTGTGTCTACGAACAACGGACGAATTCGCGACAATTTCGATTGGGGATCGTCACGATTTGTGGGGGCTGGCGCGATTGTCGCACTTGTGACGAGAGAGTATCGACGCCGGGGGAAGGTGTTCGATCCTGTGCCGTTTGTCATTCTAACCCCCGTCGTCGCGCGCTCTGTCTCCGCGTGTCTGCAAACACTCTCCGCCGGTGTATCATCGGGGAATCGATGGCGACTCGTCAAACTACAAATATTTAGAGAGCACTCGGTCCGCGCTCCTCTCGTCGATTGCGCGTAATGCGTTTTATAAATTCATCCCCGAACGAGAATCTCGTTCTCGAAGGAGAACGAAGAAGAGATCTGATTTCTTGAGAGAGAAGAAGTTACGAAAATTAATAATATAGAACGAGCGATTGTTGGCGAGTGATCGAGAGAAACGAATAGAATATCGTTCTGGATCCGATCTCGATCCGTGGATGGATATTCTGGGATGAAAGGAAAGTCTCGAGTCAAAGATCGTTCGATTTATTTACGACACGCGTAGTCCTCGAGATCCAAGGATCGTTACGCCTGGAAAATTATAGCGCGTGGGCGGCTCGCGTATTTCCCGATGGGCGCAGATTTACGGATCGTTAAGTCTTACGAATTTACACGTTTCTTTCCGCCGTGCCTCTATTTGCGGCCGTTGCCGACGTTTTATCGTAGTCGCGCGCGCCTACACTCGCGCGGTTCGTTTGCGGTCGAGGCGTTCAGGGGGATCGTCAACTTTTACCTGAGAAAGCTCGATTTCGAATATCACGCGGTGATTATTCGATAAACGCGTCCCTTTATTCGATGTGGTAAAAACTACTTTTGGGACGAAGAAAATTTCCCGGATTCTTTCACAGATTCAAAGAAAAATATTCCTCCGCTGTTCGAAAGTAAGAGAATTGGATGTGAAAAAAAGAGGGGAAAAAAGGAAAGTACAATTTCTCGAAAAAAAAAAAAAAAAAAGGAAAGGAGGAAAAAAACGCGCGTGAAACGTTTCAACTGGCGAGGAAATGTTACGAGGAAGAGAGATCACCCTTTGGGGAATAAAGGCCGGCGCAGAGGTTATTTCTGGATCGCGAAAAACTTTTAATAGCTTTCTGATAGCTTATTGGTCGGTCTTATAAATACTTTCATATCTCGCGTCCCATCCGTCTGTCGGCTCTTTTTCCTCTTCCGGCCGTCCCTCGTTACTTTTTTCCCTCCATTGTGTCGTCCACCTTGGTCGAGCCGAAAACTTTGAT